CTACATATAATTTCTGTAACCCTGTATAGGTTTAAAATGACTGCCTTTACATCTGTGTTCAAGCTGATGACATTCTTTGCTTCTTTCAAAGAAATCCCATCTGTTATGAGGTGTCTTTCAGCAACTGCTGACTGTCCATGTTTCCCAAGTATACAAAAGCACATCAGTAATTAAAGGACTCTCCACACCAGTGGCACATCAGGCATATTTTAATAGACTAATGGATGGGAAGGGGTTAACACAATGTCAGCCATTTTTATGTCCCAGAACATTTCCCGGTACTTATTTAAGGCTGATCCAGAGGGAACCAAGGTCAATTGTTAAAAAAAAATCTGCCTTAATGTGGACTCACACCTAAGACCTACATGTTGCTATGCAAGCATCTAGCTACTGTTCTACCGAGGGTCCCAAGGACATCAGGCTGATGACAGAAAAGGGAAGCCTTTTCATAAACACAGTCATTGAGAAACTTAGAGAAAAACTATTTGCCAGTGTGAAGAAGGACAAAACTGATCTTCCAGTATAGTGAGGGACAAAACTGATTTCCAGTATAATAAGGACAAAAATGATCTTCCAGTATAGTGAGGGAAAAACTGATCGTACAGTATAGTGAGGGACAAAACTGATTTTCCAGTATAGTGAGGGACAAAAATGATCTTCTAGTATAGTGAGGGACAAAACTGATCTTCCAGTATAGTGAGGAACAAAAATGATCTTCCAGTATAGTGAGGACAAAACTGATCTTCCAGTATAGTGAGGGTTAAACTGATCTTCCAGTATATTGAGGGACAAAAATGATCTTCCAGTATAGTGAGGGACAAAACAAATCTTACAGTATACTGAGGGACAAAACTGATCTTACAGTATAGTGAGGGACAAAACTAATCTTCCAGTATAGTGAGGGACAAAAACAAATCTTCCAGTATAGTGAGGGACAAAAACTAATCTTCCAGTATAGTGAGGGACAAAACAAATCTTACAGTATACTGAGGGACAAAAACTAAGTATAGTGAGGGACAAATACTAAGTATAGTGAGGGACAAAAACTAATCTTCCAGTATAGTGAGGGACAAAAACTAATCTTCCAGTATAGTGAAAGACAAAAATGATCTTACAGTATAATGAGGGACAAAACTGACCTTCCAGTATGAAAGATGAAAATACAGAGCTTCCAGTATGAAAGATGAAAATACAGAGCTTCCAGTATGAAAGATGAATTCAGAACTTCCAGTATGGAGGACAAAATAGATGTTCCAAAGCTTGTGAACTTGGCCATTCTTTACCTATACAGTAAAAACAATCATGAAGGTTGCAACTCACACAGTACAACATGTAGAAAGAAATGTGACACAATAAAAGCAACAGTTATAACATGGAAGCTGGGCCCAGAAGAGAGTTTTCAGAAGCAGGCTAACAAGTAAGGTGATAGCAAAGAAGCATTTCAGGCAACATTAAAGAGATGTTTACTGACATAACACAGACGATAAACGGTTAAATTCCCCCAATGAATGCTTTAAAAAAATGGGTAAAAAGTGCATGAGATTTCCTTGAAAAACCACAATTTTACATAGGTCACTAATACAATTGGAAAAATGTATTTACCTAAATATGTAACTGTGTTCCAAATATATATAGATATATATAAAAGGAGTAATCAATAAAAACGAACTGAGTGAAGCATTAAATGGAATACATCCTCTGGGGTTTCAAAACAATATGTATGGGGTGACTCATACAATGACCCTGCGACCTCTATCCATCACTGAGGATTAGGGGAAAATTTTTCATCAACTTAGCTTTCATAAAAGGACCACTGCCATTGAAAGGAAACCCGCCTCGTTTATATTTTTATTTACTTCCTGACCTATTAAACATGCACAGGCAAACATGAGAACCAATGGCATTTAACTACACTTTTCGAGAATAGGTCACTGCTGAATTAACCATATTTCGGCATTTATGGGGCTGTTTCACAACCGGAAGATTTAGTTTCCTCGGAGCGACAGAGTCAATGTCTCCTAACAGGTCTATTCTTTGTGTTCTGGATCAATTCTACTGATAATTTGCCTTCAAGTCTGGGAGAGCCAATCGCTTTTCATTACTGGTCACTTGGCACAAATGAAATGTGTCTTCTTTAGGGGGCCATTGGCGACCAAGTTGCCCACTGGCTCGCCAATAGACAACTTTGTCGCCGTTCGGGACAGTATTTGGGTTAGTCTCCTTGGATCGCATGAATCTTTTTCGGGACTTTTAGTGTAATGTCTCCTATCTTGATGCAAAGTTAAGCTTTTTTTATATATGGTACACATAACTTAGTCAAAGTTATAACCTAAAGCTCCCTCTTCAGGAAAGCTGGTTGAACGTGAAGATTTGTTTCTAGCAAAGCACCTAACTACCTCTATAGTGGGTAATTTGACAGTATGTATAGCCTCGTAGGGAATAATACTATCATGACTTTTACCAGACATTTTCTTCTTGCTCCTTAATCTCTAATTTCTAGTATCTCTCATTATTTGTAACAGTCATGAAATAGGTATCTATTTATTGCTATTCAATGTCCTCTTATTTGAATATTTCTGGAAATAAATTATCTATTTTTAATGCCATTTACTGTTCAATTATTTCTAACAATCTCACAGATAATTATCAATTTACTGATGACATTAGTTTCTAATTGCTGCTTACATTGTTCAGACTTCTATCTCTTTAATTACACCAATAAGTGTGCTATTCTTTTACATAGAAGCAAAAACTATAGGGATGAAAGCAAAAGCCACATAGAAGTAAACCTGTCACAGATTATATGTCTAATCATTTCTGCCAATATCTGTTCAAGCATTTATTTGAGTCCCAGTATTCTAAAATTGTATTCTCACAGTTCTTAAGTTAATGTTCATTCAAAAATACAAATTGCTGGGAGTTTTCACTGCAAATTGTAGCACTATGAACATTTGCTTATCTTCTTTCAATCACTGCTTTTAAATACCTTAGAAATCAGCAAATAATTTAGTAAACTAAATGATCACATAATCATAAATCTACAACTACTGCCATACACTGAACATCTCAATACCTAACATTAATCTACAACATCTGCCACACACTGAACATCTCAATACCTAACATTAATCTACAACTACTGCCATACACTGAACATCTCAATACCTAACATTAATCTACAACATCTGCCATACACTGAACATCTCAATACCTAACATTAGGCTACAACATCTGCCACACACTGAACATCTCAATACCTAACATTAGGCTACAACATCTGCCACACACTGAACATTATAATTACTAACATTTAGCTACATCTGTTACACAGTGAACATTTTAATACCTAACATTTAGCTACAACATCTGCCACACACACTGAACACTGTAATACCTAACATTTAGCTACAACATCTGCCACACACTGAACATCATAATACTTAACATTACTCTACAACATCTGCCACACACACTGAACATTATAATACCTAACAATAATCTACATCTGCCACACAATGAACATTATAATACCTAACATTAGGCTACAACATCTGCCACACACTGAACATTATAATACCTAACATTAATCTACAACATCTGCCACACAGTGAAAATCATAATACCTAACATTAATCTACAAAATCTGCCACACGTTGAACACTGTAACACCTAACATTAGGCTACAACATCTGCCACACATTGAATACCATAATACCAAATTACTGATCACTAGACACTCAACATGCAATGTTGTCATTATCATGCTAACCGCAGTTCCTCCCAAAATAGCGGTTTAATCAGTTAAAGGCTGGGTCGACCTGTGTCTAACATGCATGTCAAAGCTTTAACTGGCCAGCCAGACACATGGACTTCTCTCCAAGATATTTTTTCCAGGTGTTTTCTTTTTTAACCCAAATAATATTTGGGAAAAACTGTTTTCTGATGAATACACATCATGCAGCTGCCGCCAGTACTATAAGTGTTAGATAATGTTTGTGGTAACTGCCCATAAATATCATGCCATCAAAAAAATGGAAAAGTCAGAAAACGAGTCCTCTCTTGATGAGAGGGTTAAAACATACAGGAAATCTAGTGACTAAATGCCACATCAGGGGCAATTTAACAGATATCATGCCAGATTCCAGACATTTCTGGAACATATTTCATGAGGAAGCAGCAACCTCAGAGTTGTAATGGTCAGAAATACTTCTGCTTCACATTCACTAGCTGAAAACTGAGAGAATGTCTTAGTTGTTCCTCCTTTTCTGGACACTGTCTTGTTTCAGGTCATAAGTGTTACAGGCAAATCCATGAAGATCTAGCTTATTTATATGCAGACTGTTGCTTCCTTCACTCTCAGGCAGATGTACTCTGACCTAGAAACGAATCTGTCTACAGAGGCCCAGCTGCTGGTTAGGAACCTGTTTCCAGGATAACCATGAAGAGGTGTAAATGGGTCTTGGCCAATACTAGCCCTGGTATTGGTGCACTACCACATGTGGCTCAACATCTCTTCATCTTGGATAGGAAAACAGACCCTACTTAGGAAAACTCTACCTACCATGGTCAAAGCCAAAAGACTAACTTCTACACTCTACCTACCATGGTCAAAACCAACAGACTAACTTCTACACTCTACCTACCATGGTCAAAACCAACAGGCTAACTTCTACACTCTACCTACCATGGTCAAAACCAACAGACTAACTTCTACACTCTACCTACTAGGTTACTGTTGGATAAAACTGACAAAGGAACTTTCTCCTAAATTTGTCTAGCATCAAACTAAAATTGCAGTTAATCTATTATAAATGGTCAAAAAGACACAAACCACAATGAATGTAGAGGACATCCTCAGTAAAAAAGAAACCCCAGACCTAAGGTTGACCTACATGCTATATTTTTTTTAATACTTAAATAAAAGCAAACTTGTAATGCAAGGAAATGCTTGCGGAGCACGAGGCGGTGTCACACAACAAGGGAACAAAATCAACACTTACTAACACCTCCCCCCATAGAAATGACATCTTCGCTATGAACGTAATTATGTACAATAACTGCTGCATAGTTGTGCTGTTCAGCATTTAAAACCTGGAATCAGGCAAAGGAAAAGAATCAAATTAACCACAATCATTAATCATGTTCTCTGAATGTTGGGGGGGGGGGGGGGGGGGTGGTGGTGGTGTGTGTTTTTTTTGTGTTTTTTTTTTTGTTTTTTTGTTTTGTGTTTTTTGTTTTTTTTTGTTTTGTTTTTTTTTTTTTTTTTTTTTTTTTTTGGGGGGGGGGTGGGTGGTGGGGGGGGGGGGGGGGGGGGGGGGCAATGTAAATTAAAACCGAAGCAACTATCATCACCATCCCATGCCTTGCCGACTGGTGTTGATGATCATGACTCTCCACAACCAGCCATCTCCAACAACATCCATGTGCTGACATCCGTCCATGCAATAACAAAAGGCTGTTAAGAACCTTCTTGCACTGTTGTCCTCTCTCTTTCCATAAAAAGGCAACCACTGACGGTGTGATAGTCTCAGACTTAGTAATGAAAATACATACATACATACATACATACATACATACATACATACATACATACATACATACATACATACATACATACATACATACATACATACATACATACATACATACATACATACATACATACATACATACATACATACATACATACATACATATATATAACAAGTAAACCATTCTTGTGCAGCTAAGTAATAAAGAACTCTACCAGTGGGTAATAACATGGGATTGAGCGACAAATTCTTTCCTATCAAGATGTCTCTGTTGTAAAGCTCTCTGCCAGCACCTATTGGTCACAGGTCGTTGTTTTTTTTTTGTTTTTTTGTTAACTGCGCCATTTAGTTTGCAAATTATTTCATGCTCAAAGGCCCTGCCTGAGCAAAATTTGGAGTTTAAAATCTACCCAAAATATTTTCAGGATCATCGCCGGTGCCACAGAGCCTGTGCTCGGCGCTGAGCCACTTCAGACTCAGACTAGAAGTCGAACAGAGCACTTATGGGTTACTACCAGTGTGCAATAATGTTGACCCGTTGTTCAAACCTCAAAAACCTTAGTTTGTGTAATCTTGGCACTTTTGCAAAGAGAGGAGTAAGTCCCTGACTTTATCTATAAGACAGAATGTTAGGTATTATAATGTTCAGCAGTGACAGAACTACATGAATGTCCAATGTTCATTTTCACAGAAAATGATACAATAGACATAGTGGATATCCCTTTTAGCTATGGGAAGAAATCTATTAGTGACACGGCCACCTAGATGTCCAATACTCATTCTCACAGAAACCACGAGGCAGACCAAGAAGATTGTGAAGAGATAATATTCAGGCAGATCTACAAACACTTGGAGCCACTAAACTGGATACAGATGACCAATCACACATGAATGGAGGCAGGTGATATTTGCAGCAATGAACCTCAAGGGCTCAGAATCCTGAAGGAGAAGAATAGAAACCTGTGTCAGATTAGTGATTCTCACTGTAGCTAAGGGAATCAATGCCTTAGGTAGTGGCCTCTTCTAGCTTAGTAACACACTGGTCCCAGGTTCAATTTCTTGTAGTGACAAGACTGGATTTTCCATGGTTGATACAAGACACTATGCTATCAATGCCAAACGTGGACACTTACATCCTCCAATGAACGTAAAATTGTGACAACAGAGATTAAATGCCTTTGAAGAGCTGCAGGAGTTTCAAGGAAAGACAGAATAAGAGTGCATAAATCAGACGAATGCTAGGAATAAAGCCAGTCTTACAGGTCATCAAAGAACAACAAATGAAGTGGTTTGGACACCTAACAAGAATGCCCTGGTACTATCCGCCACAGCGAGCCACACTAAAACATTACAACGGGTATATAGCGAGTGGAAGACCTCGGAAAATATGGAGTGATGGCATTAAGAACAGCCTTATAGAAATGAACATCAGTCTTAATAGTGCTCTTGACAGAGCTCATCAACGAACATTACATCTCCCCCCGACACTTCGATGAGGTACAAGGTGGAAGAGAAGAAGAAGATGCACTGGCAATGAAAGCACACAGGGCTGGAGAAGTGGCTAGAGAAAGAGAGACTTCCAGGAGTGCTGTGAGCAACGTTCGGTAAACGACCTGGTGATTGATGATGCTGAGTTATTTGCAAAGTAAGGTGGTAAGGTAGATGCGGATCACTTCAATTCACAATAATAAAATATGTGAAGCTGAATCATCTGACACCAATATAGAAAACTCAACAATGACATTATATATATACATTCAGATTACTGTCTAACAGATTTAACAATTAGAAGCTTTAGCACTGATTATAAATTGTCATACAGTGAGAATGCAGCCAAATCAAACTGTATATGAGACCTTCTACAGCAGAACATCTGGACAGAAGTTGAAAGGAAGACCAAAGAAGAGATGAACAGGTGGCACAGCTGAAACCTGCAAAAAGATTAACAGATCCATCTCTTAAACCGCCCAGGAATTATAAGACAAATACAGAAAAACCATGACGCTGGGCTACAACCTGGTATCAATGTGACAACTCTAGAAGAATAATAACTGATCATGAATTAAGTAATCTCAAAGTGGACACAATTATAACACACAATAAAATACTGAAAGTAAATAGATATTTATACAAAACAGATGACTCATGGCTGAATCACTTAGAATGCAAAACCTGTAATCATAAACATAACCACAATGATTAAAGAAATTTATTATGTAATCTTATTGTCTCAAGCAGAGAAAATTGCCTAGGAGATTATATAATTCTGCTTTTCATCTTTAAAAACCTGTAATTATGAAAAAGACGAAAAGGTCATTAATCACAATAGTTAACTGAGTAATGAATCAACTAGCAGGTGGCTGAGTAGCTAAGCTAAAGGTCTCTAATGTCTGGAGGTGTGGGGGTTTGCACCCCAGTATGACATATGTTTATTTAACTTACAGAAAACCACCAATCCTGCCCACTGTGTGGCTTCAGCAATATTAAGATGACTGAATAACCTCAATCATTAAAAAATCTTCCCAAAAGACATAATTAAGCCTTAAAAATGATATAAAGTTTATAGTACACTGTATCAAAAATTATAAATGTACTTTATGCTACATGATAAATTAAAAATAATATATAACTGATTCTATCATTGAAGATCCTGATTATTCCTTTCAGGTGTGTGTGTTTTTTTTTATTTACAAACCAACAACCTGCTTTTGAAGGTTATCAACGAACTATTATGTTATATACTTCATTTATAGAAATCTGAACGCAGACCAGTCAGTTCTGTTTTCACAGGAGTTATAGGAATAATGGAAAAACAAAGATATCCACACCATGAGCATTCGGTTATTTTGTTCCAGGACTTTCAACGTGGCTGAAACAAGCACAAACATTTCAGTGCTAGCCATGGTAAAGTTTGAGGATCTTTTTATTTTTTATTGTTAGAGACACAACATCCACAGGAAATATAACGTCATTGCAGGAAGCAAATGGTCATTCTAGAAGTGCCTGCTAGATAAGGGAGGAGCAGCGGATGTTCCGAAGGAGTCCATATGCTTGGTGGTGCATCTCCCGCTGACCAGACGTCCATGTTGAGACTGCATTTCCCACAGCCATTCAGCCGATGGGCATGTTGGGGTAACTTTTTTGTTTTTTAACTGAGGATGTCCTCTCTACATCCATTGTAGTTTGTGCCTTTTTGATCATAAAAAAATAGTTCTGACTGTTGAAGACTAGTTTTCCAGGTCAACGGACTTGCAGTAAAATAGATTTCAGATAACTGAGATGGTATAAACAGAGCTCTTGAAATTGTAGGCTTCTTCTTGCCTAAGTCCTGGTACAGGATCTATCAAGGTCAATGAATGTCAGATTCAAGGGGTTAACTATTCATGTATTTGTAAGCTTGTCTTACTGTCGACATGATGCATTATATTCTGAAAATGGCAGAAGATAGGCAGAAAAGACTCCATGAGAAATAATCATCATCAAGTGATATCCTAATGGAACTAATGAATGAGCACATTCTTTGTCCCTGTGAAAATGAAAACCAATTAACCAGATATACTTCTCTCCAATCCTGGAGAGGTCATAGGCATAAAGTTGAAATCCTTGCACCAAGTTTTATCCCTTACGGTTGATCTCTCTCTGCAACATGGCTAGCCACATGCCGAGAAAGTTGCACACAGCATAAACTCCGTAGCTCAAGTGACAATCCACAGTGTTCTCTGCAAAAATTGCATTCATGAACCGAATTACACAGCCTCAAATTATCTTGACCTTCAAATCATGCGATAAATGGCCATGGAGACCCCTGGTCATAGATACAAAAATCTTTAAGGCCGTGTCTTCTTTATTACTTCTCTCTATTCCTTGGATAAAAAGCTCATACATCCGCACACCCTGGAGTCAAGGTCATACACTTAGCCATTCTGAAGGTGTTTGTTTAATTTACTCACCCTGAAGAATAGAAGTGTTAAGGTCATACACTCTTCATCTTAGAAGAGTATGTTTAATTTACACAGACTATATTACAACTGAACCACACAACAAAACAGGACGAGCTGAATTTACCTTGTCTGAAAATTCACAGTCGCCACCCCTGGCAATCAGCAGTATGAAATTACAATTAAAATCAGCACACCAGGTGCTGTTCTTTGGAGGAGGTTGGACAGGCTTGCATGCCTTGTGGTCACCGTTGGCATAAACCAGCCATCCCTGCACAGAGATTCAATAACATTTTAAATCAGAAAACAGCATTTCAGTCCTGAAAATGCGACTTAAAGGGATCTACCTCACAAAATGGAGAGAGAACTGACCGCCAGCAAATCTAGAAACAATCAACTCGTTCTGCAGTGGATCCCAGCTCACTGCAACATACCACAAAATGCAAACAGACTTGCAACAACAACAACAAAAAATAGAACAAAGGAGAAACAAGACACTCATTCATTCCCATTAGCAGAAATCAAAACATTTAGCAAGGGAAAATACAAGGAATTGTGGAGACAACAATCCAACAGTAAACATCCACAAAACCCCAACAGCAGACTCAACAGAAAGCAACATACAACTTTCCATCTATGAATAGGACACTGCAGGCTCAAATACCACATGCATAAAAAAAAGACTGTACAGTCCCCACAGTGGGCCTGTCAGAGCAAATTCTTCACACCTGCCCACTCCACCTACAACTTCAAAAAGACACCTGGCCCCAAGAGCAAAGTGCAGAGCAAGCTAAGGGGAACCATGAAGGAGCTGCTACTGACATGCAAGTTCACAGAGGCAGCCCACCTGATGCTCAGACCCAAGCATATGAAACCAAACACAAAGAAGAAGCTCTGAAAAACATATATTAACTACAACAAAAATGAAGTTCACAAAATCAGACACAATCATCATATTGTAGGTCTTTGCACAACATCACTCTCATCATGGAATGCTAGAAAGCCACTCAGTCTCTTGCTAACTCTCCAGGCATGTGAACTTTCATGCCAAGAGTGTTCTTAATAACCTTTGACCACCACTGTGATGGCCAACCCCTGCCACTTATTCCTCATTACTGTTGTTTCCAAACCATTCTGGCATTTAAGATGGCAGAAGTATCACAGTTTACGAGAAACGAAAGTTTATGAGGTAGTCACGCTCAGTATTCAGACCTTATGATCTCTTTTCTTCTTCTTCTTCTTCTTCGTGTTCACTGACTGTAAACTCTGGCAGGAAGTTCTGGTTGTTGATCCACCTCTGGACTTTAGTCTTGTTCCAAAACCTGGGGGTTGCATGCACATTGATTTCAGAGATGTGTATACAGACTGTAGGTTCGTCGCCTATCAGCAAATATGCCCCGATTTCAAAGGAAGCCACTGATTAGTCAATTCTTATGACATGCCTGTTTGGGAGGCAGTTGGTCTATTCTCGTTTTCCTCTCAATGAGAAAGTTGATGAAAAACCAGAACTGTCTGGAGTTTACAGCCGGTGAGTGTGAAGAAGAAAGAAGATTGGGGGTGGGTGTCTTCTTATGTTTTATCTGTGGCACCATTCTACAAGTGCTGGTCATATTGACTTTTAGTAAATAAAGGGAAGCAACATTAGTTCTGATTTGGTGGATAATGGAAACAAGACCATTAACATCTGACGGGCCATGCGGCTGATGTAACCAAACCGGGCTAATGATACGTAGAGTTTTCACTCGGACAGTCCCATTTTTCTGTGTGTTTCTTGCCCTCCCCCCACAAAAATTCTAGGAATAAGCTTGAGAATTAAACATATATATATATATATATATATATATATATATATATATATATATATATATATATATATATATATATATATATATATATATATATATATATATATATATATATATATATATATATATATATATATAGTTACACACTATCAATCAAGATAAGATAGAATACATGATAATAACAAGACAGGGAAAGGATATAAACCCAGCCACATACAAGTCGATACTATGAAAATCAAACGAAGGAAAACATATAAGTACTTGGGTGCAAACTTCAACTGCTCCAACATGCTGAGAGAAGAAATACAATCTAGAATACAAAGTATTCTATGTAATAATAAAGTATACTATGTCATTCAATACCTGCTAAAGTCAAAGTCTCTATCTCGCAACACCAAAATCAAAATGTATAAAATGTTGATAAGACCAGTCGTTTTATATAGCTCTGAAACTTGGAGCACAACTACAAGAGATCAAGCCTTAATACAGGTTTTCAGAAATACAGTATCACATCAGAGATGCAAACAGTGGGGAATGGAGAGTGAGAAGCAACAACGAAATTCGTAATCTGTTTAAATCATCTTTGATCACTGGCTTCATGAGAGCTAACAGGTTGAAATGGCTGGGGAAAGAATGTCAGATGACAGAGAGGTAAAAAACTGTATACACAAGGCAGATGAATGGTCGTAGACCGTGAGGCAGACCAAGAAGACAATGGAGACACAATGTACAGAGAGATCTGCAGACACTTGGTGTCACCAAATAGAAATAGAAGGCCAACCAGAGAGATCAGTGGATGCAGGTGATATCTGCAGCAATGAGTCACAAGGGTTTGGAATGCTGAAGAAGAAGAAGAAGAAGAAGAAGAAGAAGAAGAAGAAGAAGAAGAAGAAGAAGAAGAAGAAGAAGAAGAAGAAGAAGAAGAAGAAGAAGAAGGAAGAAGAAGAAGAAGAAGAAGAAGAAGAAGAAGAAGAAGCAGAAGAAGAAGAAGCAGAAGAAGAAGAAAAAGCAGCAGAAGAGGAAGAAGCAAAAGAAAACAGAGAAGGAAAAAGAAGAAGAAAGACGAAGACGAAGCAGAAGCAGAAGAAGCAGCAGCAGCAGCACCACCACAGCAGCAGCAGCAGAAAAAGAAGAAGAAGAAGAGAGAGAAGAGGAAGAGGAAGAAGAGGAAGAAGAGAAAGAAGAAGAAGAGGAGGAAGAAGAAGAAGAAAAAGAAGAAGAAGAGGAGGAGGAGGAAAAGAAGTGAAGAAGGAAGCGGAGGAGGAGGAGGAGAAGGAGGAGAAGAAGAAGAAGAAGAAGATTGTTGATTCCTACAGACAGCAATCATGGAGAGAAACAATGACCATATCTATACATAACGAGCCAAGTTATCGCACTGACTAGTTTGCCTGACTAGTGATCATGTTCAAATCCCCATCACAGTAAGGATTCCTTTAAAATATGCATGCGCTTCCATAATCAATGCAGTCTAAAATGGGTAAAGGGAATATTCTGGAAAGTAAAGGTAGCCCTTATAAACGAACACTCCCCATATGGGTTCTGGAGCCACATTTGGGGGAGTGGGGAATAGACCCCCTCCCCCTCCCCCAAACAGCATACAAGTAGGCCAGATCTGTAAAATTGATGTGCATGTAAAAATCAAGTTCTAGAACAAGACCAAAGTCCAGAAGTGGATGAACAGCCAGAACTTTCCATCTGAGTTTACAACCGGTGACTGCTAAGAAGAAGAATAAACAAACATCGCCAAAAGAGCGCGACAGGTGTAAGAAAATAAGGGGAAGCAAATTTTAAACAAGACGCTTTTTGGTCATCATCATCATCAATTTCCACTTCTGTCATTGAGCGTAGTGGGAAGGAACAGTTTGTGATCCACTGCTTGATGGGCAGCAATGGGTACTGTCATTCCACGTCAAAACATAAAAAAACTCTTCAATCTGTAATCTTCTCCTAGTGTGTTCTCTTGCTTTCACATCAGATCTTTCCATATGTAGTGCATGTGTTGGTAGTTATTCTGTGTGCATTCTTACTAGGTGACCAAACCATTTGATTGTCTTTTTTCTCAATAACTTATTGTTCCCTGTGTGTCTGATAATATCATTTCTAATTATGTCTCGGATGGTTAAGTTTCCTCAGGCATCTTATTTCACAGGTTTTAATTTTACGCAGGTTAGTCTTTGATAATTTTCAAGTCTGGCACTGGTCAGTTGGTGTGTAAGTGCACTGGCTCACTGGCATCTTGTTTCTATTTCCAGATCCATTCTCCCGTTTAAACTGCACTGAATCAGCAAACAATGAAATTAACGCTAAAAGGCATTGCAATAGGGTCCTTTATTCGTTTTGTCTTTTCTTACACCAAAATCTTAACGAATGTGGTTGTTTCAATTATTTGATTTCTCAGTTGCTGGCAAAAAACAATTGTGTGCTGTTGTTAGAGAATACAATCAATTATATCAAAGACACAGAAGGTCAGACAATAAATAACATACCTCCAAGCCATCCGGTGGAAAATCTACGCCAAAACTGGCTTGCAAGTCGGGGTATTTCCCAATTGTGTGATTTGTGTGCAAGTCTTTCTGTGATGAATAAATTACACAAATTATTATTATTATTATTATTAATTCTAAAATTATAAAGTTAAAGAGAAAAGGTAAAACAGGATAAGAGACTTCTTTAGGTATCATTCAGCAATCTTTAGGTATCATCCAGCATTCTTCTAGTAGCAAACAGCAATCTTTAGGTGTCATACAGCAATCTTAAGGTGTCATACAGCAATCTTTAGATATCATCCGGCAAGCTTCAGATATAATACAGCAATCTCAAGATACTATCCAGCATTCTTTATGAGTTACAGTAACAGTAAAGCAAATCAGGTAATCACAGCTGCAACTTCATAGCCACACGGTCATCTTATAGTCGCTCTATTCTTGGGCCAATTAAAACCTCACAGAATGTCCACCACTGTCCATTGGGATAAAACTGACACAGACTGTAGTCTCAGCAAAGCCAACAGCATGCATAAGGAAGCCGTAGGAGGTGCCAACACAAACAGTCTGACACTAAAAATGCAGTTCATTGTCGACAGAAGCAGCACTTATGTAACAGACAAGCAGTTGCACACACAACCACATAAGGCACCACCAGTCCTATGGCAACAGGCCACTTGCTATTTTCTGAATCTGCAGTTCACAGCACAAACCATATAGGGCAGGGCTGAAAAGCATTCCAAATGAAATTTGCAGCTCACAGTATCAAGGCATGCATTCAACTCAATAGGTGGGCGATGGAACTACATCCTTTAAGTCCATATATGGAGTTAAATCCAATGACTAAATACTGTCAGAAGCAAAAACGTGCCATGACTAAAAATAGTAAGCTCGCAATCCGCCATACTGACCAAAAGTTGAGTAAAGTAGAGCTAATACCAAGAACTTGTTTAATACAATACATAATTTGACTGTAAAGCTCTCTAAAGGATAGAGAAAAACATTCAGACAAAAATAGAGAGTGTTCAGAATGCCTCGCAATGCCATACCATACAAGGCATAACATCAAAATAAGAGGAGGCTGTACAGTACAATGTAGAATGAGATGGAAAGATAACATCAGAGAAACAACTCTTCAACAGTCCATCATTGAAGAGCAAGAAGAGCAAGAAGAAGAATCTTACATCTCAAGTGATACCTGAAGTGGTTAAAGAGGAACTGATGAAGAAAAGATGATGTTCAGCTTTTCCACTTGATTTTCTTTTTAATCCACAGGGAATCATTTTCTGGGTTTTTTCAATGCTGAGATGTAAGATTCCTATTTTTTGTTGTTGATAAAGACTGACTGGGACATGTGGTCATATCTGTGTGCATCAGTCCTTTCCCTTCACTGAGTTTCCTAGCCCCATTCTGTGTTGTGTTCATTTAGTTCTCTTGTATGTGCTGTCTCCCTCACAAGCTGCAGAGTGAAAAATAGAGACAGACAGAGGCAGAAAGGAGGTCATCATCAAGTGCCTTGCCAGCTGGCGTAGGCATTCATGCATCTCCACAGATCTAAGTCTTTGGTGTTCTGGATCAATTTTACTAATGATATTTCTCCATGTCACTGTCTTAAGCCATCCGCCATCATTTCTCTTGGTCTGCCTCTGCCTCTTCTATAAGTTACCTTGCTAGCTGTCACCAAATTTTTCCAGTTCTCCTCTTCTTATGACATGACCAAAGAACTTTGTTTCCTTCTCATTGTTGTACATAATGTTGTACTTTCATTAGCCATTTCCAGGCAATCATTGTTAGTTATTATGACAGTTCAAGGCATTTGCAACATTATTCTCAAGAACCACATCTCAGTTGCCTCCAAACTCTTCTTTATGAAAGGAGGTGGAAACAAAAAAATAAGATAAAAATGAGCAGCTTCAAATGTGGTACTGCAGCACTGTGAAAAAACTCAACCAATTGAAATCAAGAGCTGAAGACAAGATGCTGGTGTCTGATAGGACACACACTGAGAAGACCTGAAAACAAAATAACCATAATGTCTTTGCCCTAGAACCCATAAAGACAGATCCCTCCCACCCCTCCCCACCCCCCAAAAAAACTTGGAGAAAGGAACTAGAGAGTGCAGTTAAAAAGATTGGGGTGGGGGAGGGGGGGGCCTTGGGGGAGCTGAATGCAATAGCAGAAGACAGGACAGATGTCTTAGTGTGAGTTGGTTGAGGGCCTATGCTCCAGTGACACACACAAAAGGACGGAAGAAGAAGTTTCATACAATCCAATATTTCTTTCCGTCATATTAAATCTTCTTCCTAAAAACTGATACTATACCTCAAAATGTTTGTACCTGGCTCAATGCGATAACAGAAAGAAAGGCACAGAAAAAACACTGAAATAAATCAGAGAATGAAGATCCGCAGCAATGATGAGGCAGGTACGACATTTCTAGACCAGAGTTCTGACGATATGAATCCTGTGACTGGCATCCTCACAGTATAATTAGTGTCACTTGCTGGTCTTGTGTGCAGCATAAACTTTGGTATTAGTAAAAATCGGGTCATTGCCTGCACTGTTTTCAAATGTCACATTCACTTGTACATATTTGTTTTCATTCATGTGCAGGGTTTTTATTGTTTCCCCGTGCTTCCCACTTAAAGTGGTTTAGCAGGTTACATCTATAAACCCAGTAGTAATACAAAGCAGGGTCTCCCAAGTGTTGCAGGTCAAAGATGCAGGAAAATTTAAACTTGCTGCATTTGTGGCATGAAAACAGGGTTACTCTTACATGCAGTAATTGAAATACAGGATCCCTTTTCATTTCTTGTGTATATGCAAAAGTAGTAAATAAGTGCCAGATCAATGGCATGCCTCTGGTGCCCCAGACACAGGCAAGACCTATATTTTTATAGACTAATAAGCATTTAACAGGGGAGTATTTGGTGCTAGACGCATAATTTCAGACACATCAATTCACTATGTGGCTTCTTCTTCCTCATCTTCACCAGCTGTAAACTCCATCACAAAGTTCTCGATATTCATCCACCTCTGGACTTTAGTCTTGTTTCAGAACCAGAGTGGTGTGTGCGCATTCGTTTCACAGATCTGCCTCATATGTATGAAGACTGCTGGTTCCTTGCCTCTCAGGCAGATGCACTCTGACTTCAAAGGAACCTCCCGATTAGTAAATTCTTACGACATGCTTTTGGGTAGGCAGTGGGTCTATTCTTGTTTTCCTCACAATGGGACCCAGGAACCCACACTGGGATCTGTGTGGATTTGTTGGCACATTTTGAGACCACATAAGAATGAGCCTACAGCCCCCAACACACATGTTGTAAAAAAGCAACTAATTAGTGGTGTTTCCTTCAAAGTCAGAGTGTATCTGTCTGAGAGACAGGAAACTAACAATCTGCATACAAATAAGCCAGATGTGTAAAACAGATGGGTGGGCAAAGCTCAAGTTCTGGAAGAAAACCAAAATCCAGAAGAACAGACCCCCTGCTCCTAACAAGCATGTCATAAGAGTTGACTAATTTTGGGTTTTCTTCAAAGTCAGAGTGCATCTGCCCGAGAGGCAAAGAACCAACAGTTTGCATACAAAAATAGGTTGATTTGTGAAATGGATGTGCACACAATATTCAGGTTCTGGGACAATTTAAGTCCAGAGATGGATAAACAACCAGAATTTTTTAACAGCCGCAGAACACGAAGAAGAAAGAAAATTACCATTGGGATAGCAGGCAGGTATATTTGCCACTGTGCCGCCCCAGATCTCATTCCATGGAGTCAAGTAAATTACCTTTTGACATCAGTGGAACATTTGGAACATGATGCTAGATTCACATTTTTACACACTAATCGGTATTCAATGGGTGATGTAGTCAACAGTATGAAAGTCACCTTAGAGCCAACATCATGAAAGTCACCTCATAGCCAACATTATGAAAGTCACCTGAGCCAACTTTGAATGTTGTCACACAGTGTTCAGCTTAAGACATTTTTAACCAATATTCTAAAGTTTTAATTATTTAGCTTTTTAAACTGTCTCCATTTACCCCAAATATTGCTCTCTGTGGCGTCCTAAGTTTAGCCTTTCCTCGTTAATTTCATTATTAACTTAGCACAGTACATCAACATTTCATTTCTGTCATAAATATTTTCCATCTGTCTTCTGATGACAGTATCCATGTTTGACACTGATAACAAAGCTTTGGTAAGAATCTCTTCATCTACAGTATGTACTAAAGTTTAAACATTTAGTTTTTCAATTTGTCTCCATTTACCACCAAACATCTTTTCATCAACAGAATATCCTAAAGTTTAACAATCTGATTTTTTTCAAATCGTCTCCATTTACCCCAAATATCTCTTCATCAACAGAATGGACTAAAGTTTAATCAACAATCTGGTTTTTCAAACAGTCTCTACTCACCACAAACACATCTCCATCAACCCCAGTCACCCACAAGAGGGCTAGCAGGTTCAACGCAGCCAACACAAAGACATCCATGAAAAGTCAGGAGGGGTTTAAACCCTTACCAGTCTGAGAACCTGTTAAAAGATCATACAGATGAAAGCACACCTCAAACTAACATGTAAGTTTATAAGTTAGTTAATATCAAACAGCTTACCTACAGACCCAGTGGTTAGGAGTTTGAATCTGCATCCAAGTGGATTTTTAGTACTGGGTTCTCAGATTGATTCAGTCTAAAATGGGTACCAGGAAATGTCATAGGAAGTATGGGTGGCTTGTGTGATGTCGAGCATATCAACAATTGACCATAACACACATAATCACTGTGCAAACACTGTTACAACTAGAATGATTGAGGCTGTTAAAGGAAACATTGCAACAATCAGCATGATTGAGGCTTTGAGGAAAACACTGTAACAACCAGCATTATTGAGGCTTTAAGGAAAACACTGTAACAACAAGCATGATTGAGGCTTTAAGGAAAATACTGTAACAACAAGCATGATTGAGGCTTTAAGGAAAACACTGTAACAACCAGCATTATTGAGGCTTTAAGGAAAACACTGTAACAACAAGCATGATTGAGGCTTTAAGGAAAACACTGTAACAACAAGCATGATTGAGGCTTTAAGGAAAACACTGTAACAACCAGCATTATTGAGGCTTTAAGGAAAACACTGTTACAACAAGCAAGATTGAGGCTTTAAGGAAAACACTGTAACAACAAGCATGATTGAGGCTTTAAGGAAAACACTGTAACAACCAGCATGATTGAGGCTTTAAGGAAAACTCTGTAACAACCACAATGATTGAGGCTGTAAAAGAAAATACTGTAACTAGAATTATTGGGGCTGTTAAAGGAAACACTGCAACAACCATAATGATTCAGACTGTTAAAGGAAACACTGTAACAACCACAATGATTGAGGCTGTTAAAGGAAATACTGCAACAACCATAATGATTCAGGCTGTTAAAGGAAACACTGCAACAACCATAATGATTCAGACTGTTAAAGGAAACACTGTAACAACCACAATGATTGAGGCTGTTAAAGGAAATACTGTAACAACCATAATGATTCAGGCTGTTAAAGGAAACACTTTAACAACCATAATGATTGAGGCTTTAAGGAAAACACAGTAACAACCACAAAGATTGAGGCTGTTAGAGACAGGACACTAACAGAGTTTCTAAGACTATTAGACACAGAGGAAACACTGCAAAAACCAGTGTGTCTGAGGTAGCTAGAGACAGAAAGCAGACTGTAACAACAAGGGTGTCTGAGGTAGCTAGAGACAGACAGCAGACTGTAACAACCAAAGTGTCTGAGGTAGCTAGAGACAGAGAGCAGACTGTAACCACCAGAGTGTCTGGGGTAGCTAGAGACAGACAGCAGACTGAAACAACCAGAGTGTCTGAGGTAGCTAGAGACAGACAGCAGACTGTAACCACCAGAGTGTCTGGGGTAGCTAGAGACAGACAGCAGACTGAAACAACCAGAGTGTCTGAGGTAGCTAGAGACCGACAGCAGACTGAAACAACCAGAGTGTCTGAGGTAGCTAGAGACAGACAGCAGACTGTAACCACCAGAGTGTCTGGGGTAGCTAGAGACAGACAGCAGACTGTAACAACCAGAGTGTCTGAGGTAGCTAGAGACAGACAGCAGACTTAACAACCAGAGTGTTTGAGGTAGCTAGAGACAGACAGCAGACTGTAACAACCAGAGTGTCTGAGGTAGCTAGAGACAAACAGCAGACTGTAACAACCAGAGTGTCTGAGGTAGCTAGAGACAGACAGCAGACTGTAACAGCCAGAGTGTCAGGTAGCTAGAGACAGAGAGCAGACTGTAACAGCCAGAGTGTCTGAGGTAGTAGATAGAGACAGAGAGCAGACTGTAACAACCAGAGTGTCTGAGGTAGTGGGGACAGAGAGCAGACTGTAACAACCAGAGTGTCTGAGGTAGCTAGAGACAGAGAGCAGACTGTAACCACGAGAGTGTCTGAGGTAGCTAGAGACAGAGAGCAGACTGTAACAACCAGAGTGTCTGAGGTAGTAGATAGAGACAGAGAGCAGACTGTAACCACCAGAGTGTCTGAGGTAGCTAGAGACAGAGAGCAGACTGTAACCACCAGAGTGTCTGAGGTAGCTAGAGACAGAGAGCAGACTGTAACAACCAGAGTGTCTGAGGTAGTAGATAGAGACAGAGAGCAGACTGTAACCACCAGAGTGTCTGAGGTAGCTAGAGACAGAGAGCAGACTGTAACAACCAGAGTGTCTGAGGTAGTAGCTAGAGACAGAGAGCAGACTGTAACCACCAGAGTGTCTGAGGTAGCTAGAGACAGAGAGCAGACTGTAACAACCAGAGTGTCTGAGGTAGTAGATAGAGACAGAGAGCAGACTGTAACCACCAGAGTGTCTGAGGTAGTAGCTAGAGACAGAGAGCAGACTGTAACAACCAGAGTGTCTGAGGTAGTAGCTAGAGACAGAGAGCAGACTGTAACCACCAGAGTGTCTGAGGTAGCTAGAGACAGAGAGCAGACTGTAACCACAAGAGTGTCTGAGGTAGCTAGAGACAGAGAGCACACTGTAACCACCAGAGTGTCTGAGGTAGCTAGAGACAGAGAGCAGACTGTAACAACCAGAGTGTCTGAGGTAGTAGCTAGAGACAGAGAGCACATTGAAACAACCAGAGTGTCTGAGGTAGCTAGAGACAGAGAGCAGACTGTAACCACGAGAGTGTCTGAGGTAGCTAGAGACAGAGAGCAGACTGTAACCACGAGAGTGTCTGAGGTAGCTAGAGACAGAGAGCAGACTGTAACAACCAGAGTGTCTGAGGTAGTAGATAAAGACAGAGAGCAGACTGTAACCACCAGAGTGTCTGAGGTAGCAGAGACAGAGAGCACACTGTAACAACCAGGGTGTCTGAGGTAGCAGAGACAGAGAGCACACTGATACAACCAGAGTGTCTAAGGTAGCTAGAGACAGAGAGCAGACTGTAACAACCAGAGTGTCTGAGGTAGCAGAGACAGAGAGCAGACTGTAACCACCAGAGTGTCTGAGGTAGCAGAGACAGAGAGCACACTGAAACAACCAGAGTGTCTGAGGTAGCTAGAGACAGACAGCAGACTTAACAACCAGGGTGTCTGAGGTAGCAGAGACAGAGAGCAGACTGTAACAACCAGGGTGTCTGAGGTAGCAGAGACAGAGAGCAGACTGTAACAACCAGGGTGTCTGAGGTAGCAGAGACAGAGAGCAGACTGTAACAACCACAGTGTCTGAGGTAGCTAGAGACAGAGAGCAGACTGTAACCACCAAAATGTCAGAGATACTCAGAAAGAGTTAACAGAGGAAGAAGCTGGTGAGATCCGTAGTAAGGCAGGCAACTTATCAAGAACCTTGACAAATGATTTATTAAGGAGGGGTTTTAATGGCTTAAAAACAAATGAAAAGCAGCATATACTTTACTTTTCTTAGTACCACTGATGAGACCATCAAACACACACATGAAAGTAAAGGTTTTTTTTTCATACCAGAAGTGCCTCTGCACATGATTTTAGACTAATATTTTCATAGAACAACTGGCACTTAGTGGATAATATGGTCAACATCATGCCAGCATCCTTTACTTCCCAGGACTCTGCTTAGTATCTATTCTAGGCCAGGATGACCTGGAAGCCGAGATCAATTATGAAAACAATCTGATGATGCAGATTTGAACTCTAGACTGGGACCAGCAGGTAAGCATCTAGCCACTACACTAATCTGGCTCTCAAAACACACTCATACCAGAATCCACATTTTCTTAAAGGCTTAAAAACAAAAAAAAGTGCAAATACTTACTTGTCTTGTTTAACAGAAAAAAAAAATCCGTCGCTCATCAAAAACACCTATTATTAGGAAGTACATCTAGATATAACCTGTTTTCCATTCAAAATCAGGATGTGTGTTGTGTTTTGATCTCAAAGTAACACACTTCGATAACCACTTTAAAAAAAACGATAACGAATCACCTTCCTACCCCTGCCCTCTTGTTAAACACACAAAAAGATGTATCAACAAGGCTTGATGATAACAATATTGCGTAAAAACAACCCAAGCTCACTTAGCCAGATAGAAAGATTAAAAACAACACTTGGCTCTACACCGCAGTTTATCAGTTGCCTGATTGGTAATGCATAAATAAATCAAGCGTAGTCATTCAACTATGACTATGTCTTCTTCTTCTGCGTTCACCTGTAAACAAGCAGCTGGCAAGCTGTGTTGTGGTTTAAAGTCAGGCTGCGATATCTGCGCCTTACAGGCCAAAAACATCTGATCTCAACTCTTAAATGGTCAATGTTTACGACATGCTTGTTAGGGCTCAGTGGGTCTATTCTTTTTTCACCCAAAATGGGAAACTGGAACCCACATGGAAAAGAGAGGGGGTTTGACTATGTCAATTAAAGAAATGCATTCAATGGTGCATGTGGTTTTACAGAAGAATAAGCAAGAACCCCATGGAAATACATAAAATGTCACTCAGCCACCATGGTGGGATGCATGGTTAAAAAAGAGGCAGGCTGTTAAGGTGTAGAAGAAGGCCAGGAAGAGTAGCACGTCGCAGCCTGAGTGATCTAAAAGATAAAGTCAATTAGACAACGATGGCTTTCAAGCTATGCGCAAACCAGGTAGAAAATGAGAAATGGGACTATTACGGTAAGAAGGTCTGCTCTGAAGGGCCTCTTGCCATATTTTGGGGATTTCATCGGGCGATGAATGGTACCACACGATGTCGGGGTATCCCACACTTTCAAAGCGCAGATCTAACATGGCAGAAATCTGATGCAGATAAAGGATAGGCTCTCCTTCAACGCTACTTGGACCAGACCGACCAGAAAGATGAGGCAGCCAGACTGAGAGTTCAGTCAACACTTTCAGAGTTGTGTGAAAAAGCAGAGCTAAGTGACCATTTCAGTATTACAACTGAGACCATATGGAAAACACTCAAGGAATTGCCTAACACCTCAGCAGCCCCTGACGGCATCCAGTATGCTGA